AGGAGGATGTAGAGAGGTGGGGGTCGGTCTCTTCTCCCAAGTCACAGGCGACAGGACAAGAGGAAATGGCCTCAAGCTGCCCCAGGGGAGGTTTAAATGGGATATTAGGAAAAATTTTTACACTGGAAGGGTTATTAAGCATTGGAATGGGCTGCCCAGGGAAGAGGTTGAGGCACCATCCCTGGTAGTATTTAAAAGATGGGGAGACATAGTGCTTAGGGATATTGTTTAGTGATGGTTTTTGTCAGTGTTTAGGTTGGTGGTTGGACTAGATGATCTGAAAGGTCCCATCCCACCTTGGCAGTTCTATGATTCTAACTGCTGCTCAGGCTCCTGCTGGCTCTGCTCCAGTGGCTGCTCCAAAGCTGCTGGTTTTCTTCAGTCATTCTTGACCTGTTGAAGACTTCCCTAGGTTAAAAGTACTTAGCATGGTCGAGCAACTTAGCTAGTCCTGAAGGCAGATAAAAGCTGTTGCTAATTAGAGTATGCAGTAAGTAACTGGAAGGAGCAATCCCAGGTGTGGGCTTCACGGTGGGTGCCGGCAGAGGCAATAGTGAACACGCAGAACCTTCACGTTCCTGTGTAAAAAGATACAATTGCCATGATTTACATGAGAAGGAAATAAAAAATGAGAGCGTTGGAAACTGAGCAGCAGATCTCATCCTTCTATGGGACTTGCAGCAGTGGTGAGAGGGGCCCAAATGTGTACCTTGTGAGGGGAGGAGGGATGTACGCAGGCCACAGGAGAAGAAATAGTGCAGCAAAAGAACATGTGCATCTTCAAAATGAAGGACTGAAGTAGTCAAAACAGAGAAAGAAATTATCAAACATCAAAAGGGTCATTTAAAACAATTTTTTTGCAAAGCTTTTAAATATGCAAGTCAAATATCAGTCATTAAAAGTATGGAGCACTTCTCTATGAGATAAAAGCTAAAAACCTGCAAATTAGAAAAGATACAAGAGCCAGCCCTTTGCAGGGGGTTGCTTTGCTTGGAACAGACACACTAGAAAATAATGTTTGTATAGGACCTCGTATAAGAGAGGGAAAGGTAGTTTTATGGGCTACTTCGTTTTGTGCAGACAACTTCTTAGTTCTGTGGCTTGTATCTTGTCTGGGATGAAGAGTGTAATATTGCCGAAAGAGAAGGAAGTTGTTTGAGAAATGACTTCAAATGCAAGAGAAGTGCCTGTGGTGGAGAGGGGACTCGGCACTGTGCATTCAGCGCGGGACTCTGCTGTGGCAGGATGGTCCAAATTTGTTAATTGTAGTGCCAATGCACGTCCGCTGTAGTGTCCAGTGCCCTGTTACCCCCTGTGAGCTGCAGGATCTTGGTCCGAAGCTGTTTCTCTCTTCTTCTCACACCTCTGAAGACACTTCAGTGCTAAATTGTGCCGTGTTGCTTGTGCAAGTATTCCAGAAGCACTTGTTGCGGGCGGCCTGGTTTTCTTGCTGCTGCCGCTTTAACATCCTGAGGGGTCCAGCAGGGAGGCAATCCTGGGAACTTCACTGCCAGAAGGCTTGTTTTGCCACCTGAGGAAAGTGCTTGATGGCCAGGATTCCAGCTGCACGCCAGGGGCGTCCCTTGCCCGCCAGGCTATTTTGGTGGATGTTAGGGATGCAAGCTCAGAAGAGCCTGTGCGTGCCCGGTGGCTGTAAAGATGTTGGCTGCAGCTGGCTTCCAGTGTGCACAAATCCATTGCCCAGCTCCAGCACCCGGCTCTTGGCCTCTTTCCAACCCCTCAAAGCCCCGGAAGGCTCATAACAACTGTCTGCTTTTGACTTTTAACCTCCCTTTTAAAAACTGTCATGGTGGTGTTGGCGCTGCTGGGGGAGGTGTGGCAAGACAGGGTCAGGCATTGCCAGTGTTGCTGGGGAGGTTACTGGCTGGAGGAATTAAAGAACATCAGGTAATTGCAGTCACTTAATTTTCACTCCGTGATCGCCTGGCTCCACGCAGCATTTGCTCCAATAAAGAGATCCTGGGGACTTCACTGCCAGAAGGCTTGTTTTGCCACCTGAGGAAAGTGCTTGATGGCCAGGATTCCAGCTGCACGCCAGGGATGTCCCTTGCCCGCCAGGCCATTTTGGTGGATGTTAGGGATGCAAGCTCAGAAGAGCCTGTGCGTGCCCGGTGGCTGTAAAGATGTTGGCTGCAGCTGGCTTCCAGTGTGCACAAATCCATTGCCCAGCTCCAGCACCCGGCTCTTGGCCTCTTTCCAACCCCTCAAAGCCCTGGAAGGCTCGTAACAACTGTCTTCTTTTGACTTTTAACCTCCCTTTTAAAAACTGTTGTGGCGGTGTTGGCGCTGCTGGGGGAGGTGTGGATTTGACTTTTAACCTCCCTTTTAAAAACTGTCATGGTGGTGTTGGCGCTGCTGGGGGAGGTGTGGCAAGACAGGGTCAGGCATTGCCAGTGTTGCTGGGGAGGTTACTGGCTGGAGGAATTAAAGAACATCAGGTAATTGCAGTCACTTAATTTTCACTCCGTGATCGCCTGGCTCCACGCAGCATTTGCTCCAATAAAGAGCGAAAACTCAGCTCTGTAAATACCAACCTTCTGTGCTACCCCTTATCTCTCCGGTTTATCCCACTCTTGTTCGAAACAATAATAAACTAGGGAGAGAAGGAGGGAGGAAGGTGTTTTGTTGCTTAAGAAACCAAATCACCAATTGAATAAAAGTATGCCCATTCCAGCTGAGGAAATGACAGGGTTTTTTCCGTTGTTAAATTGTAACAGGAAATTCACGTTAACGTCTCGTTCTCAGGCTCTTATGGTTCTGTGGGGTGAATATGTGGCATGGGAAAGTCAGATTAATTTGTTTCAACTGCAGTGCACAGCTCAAATTTTACGTGTCCTCTGTGTGAAATTTTTGTTGCACAACCTTGTATTTGTGATTCAGTGTGTTTTGTCCATTAAAAGGCATTACCACACACCCATTTTATTTTAATATTTGCATCTCCTAAGCAATTTTGCCCACGCCACGTTAGCCATGGAAAAAAAAAATGCTTTTCTGGCTGTGAAACAACTGTTGGAGTGAAGGGATTATAAAATGCCGTTTGCCTCAGCTTTTGTCATGGGGAAATTACACAATTTTCAGCAGAGTCCCATCAGCATTGTTAGCAAAATTCCAGTCTTGCAAACAGGTGAAGCTGAAGAGAGTAAACAATGTGTTTGGGAGCCTTTAGCGAGTCAGATAGATGGTAAGAAAACTGAGGTTTTAGTCTGGGATCTTTCACCTCAGCCATTAAACCATTGTAGCCCCTTGGGGTACCGCTGTCTGCCTCGATGTTTGACCAAGGTGATAGAGTATAATCCACAGGGTGTCTTTCCTGGGCCAGATATTCACACTTGATAACCTTTGGCAATTCAGACACAAAGCTGTTAGCAAGGTGAGACCTCTAAGAGAGTGAAAAAGCATAGAGCGAATTCACATTTTCCTCTTCGGTTTTGTTGCAATGATCTTACCAAATTTTTCACCCAGTGCTGAGCAAGCGCTTGCACGTATGTGGCGAAGGGCATGCTTGTTTGTGACAAGGAGGGGTCCTGGCTTTTGGCAACCCCATGTCTCCTCCTGATGGTGCCACGAGGCAGAAAGTGGGCCTGAGTCCTCCCAGAAGAGCCTTGTCAAGAGGAGGTTGGAGATGGGACTCACGGGGAAATTAAGGCTTTGTGCTGGGGTTTAGAACATACTTGGGGACGCAGACGAGTGAGTGCAGTGTGGGAGAGCAGGGTGCCAGGAGCTGGGGATGGGGCTGAGCACCCTCTGCTGCAGGGCTGGGGCAAGCAGGGGAGGAAAGGTCAGGAGAAGGGAGGAAGAGAAGGAGCTTGGGATAGTCTCTGCATCAGAATTTGCAGTACAGGCTGAGCCACTGGGAGAAGCCAGGGTGCTGACTTCCCACACCTTCAGTCTTTCTGGAGCCCCTGGTCCAGAGAGGACCATGAGCTTCCAGTACTGAGGAGCCGCCTTGAATTCTTGTTTAACTTGTGTTTCTTTTACTGTAGCTTGTGGTATGCCTTCTGTGTTTGAAAAAACCACCCAAACTTCGTATAGTTCCTCTATTGTAATGCTTAAAATGGTTAGGTTTGTCTGTAGCAATCATCCAGCCTTAGGTACCAATCCTGCTGCAGGCTTAAGCATCTGTTTAATTTATAACAGACCTAATCTAACCTCTGTTCTCCCAAGCACTTAGTTGTGTCCTAGCCTCCCAACTAATGCTTAAATGTGGTTCCAAACCTGAAGTCAGAGTTCCTAGCGATGGATCCCACCATGGTGCAGAGACTACACAGGGCAGCTGGCAGAGCCAGTCTTGTGTGCACCTCCAGAAGCTCTGTCCTAACCAGTGGCTCCCTGGGGTCCACTAAGTCCCAAACCTACCCAAATCAAATCGCCAGAACTTCTGGAAATTTTCCTATGGAAATTTTCTCAGTGTTTCACTAATGAAATTAACGGAAAGATAAGAAGAGAGCACAAACTGGCATAGACTGTTAAAATGCAAAGTATGTAATTATAGACTCACAGTTGTAATGACTCTAATGGATATCAGAGACAAGTATAAAAGGAGAATAAATTATTTCAGGGCATAAAGAATCAGTTATGGGTAATTAAGCTGCAATTATCATTACTGTGCTGCTACGATAGGTTTTTTTAAAACTAATTTTTCTAAAATGGAATAATGCAAGTTAAGCATGAATTCATCTATTATCTGCCATGCAGATAAAAACATTTTTCTAGTGCTTTTCAAAATGTGCCAGTGGGACAGATCTCAGTTTTACAGTAGTGAAAACATCAGGGGTTTTTATGAAGTGATTTATTCCACATCACGTAGCTGTTCAGTGGCATCGTTTAAACTGGGGCTCAGTGGAGTGCGTAGACCCCATGCCTACTGCCAATCATGTCAGCCAGCAATCAGGTTCAGCAGAGTTCTTCACATGCTTCAAACGAAGCAATTTGGTAATTTGGTAATCCAGGGCTCTAATTTAGAGCAAGGATGGCACAGTTCAGAGCAGCCAACAGCGTTCTTGGTTCAGTCCACGGTGCCGAGATGGTTGAACCTGGAAATCAGAGGTTGAAAAATTACAGTTTACAATACAGAGATGAATGGTTGTTGATGTCACCTTGCCTTAAAAAGGCCCTTGTAAAATGTGGCAGGTGAGCAGCTGACTCATGAGCAAGTGCGTGTGAAGGACCATAAGTCCTGCTCCTGAAATCAGAGACCTGAGATGGCAGTGGCATTACAAATGATGAGCCAGAAAGGCAAGGGGCCACCTTCTCTCCATCTCAAGGCACTGAGGACTTTGCAGCTGGAGAGTAACTCCCTGCTGGTATCAATGCACAAACTCAGATGTTAAAAGTAACAACACAAATTTCAGACAGAGGTTCATTTTATATATATGTATATCGCACAGTAACCCACACAAAGGAGCAAGGAAATGAATTCCAGGTTTGCTCCCAGCACTCTCTCTCTACGCAGGACCCAAGGTAATAATGTTGCCCAGGGAAGCTGTGGATGCCCCATCCCTGGAAGTGTTCAAGGCCAGGCTGGATGGGGCCTTGAGCAACCTGCTCTAGTGGGAGGTGTCCCTGCCCATGGCAGGGGGGTTGGAACTAGATGATCTTTAAGGTCCCTTCCAACCCAAACCATTCTATGATTCTATGATTCTATAATTAGGGGTGTTTGCAGAGGGATTACTTTGGGTCCCTAAAGCCTGGATGCTGCTAAAGAAGTGCTGGTGTTCCCAGGGCGATGGGGGCATCTCAGATACCTTGGACATGTGGAAGGGAACTGGATGCTTGGATTTACGTAGGTGCCTCAATCCTATCAGAGGTTTTAACATGTTTGTCATGATGCTGAACTCCTCAGTGCAGAGCTTGTCATCCGTTGTGTCTGTGTACCGTCTTGCGTAACTGAACCAGCTGATGCTGTAATACAGACCTTCAGAGAGAGGATTTAAAAAAAAAGTTATAAAAAATTTAGAAAATACCAAGGTTTAATGTTCCTAACTTAAACTTAACCCAGGCACCTCTTACTACTGCTCAGCATTTAATTACATTTATAGACTTTTCTTGAAGTGCCATACTCACTCTACAACAGATGGTCCTCATAGAAGGGATAAGTGTTCAAAAACTCTCCTTATCCTCATTAATTAGTTTGGAGCCTTATGTATCTCTTACTTGGTGTCATGCAAAGTGCTCATTTTCTCATAAATTTTATCAACTTAGTATGGTTCATAAATACTAATGAACTTCTCTACATTCCTGTAAAGTGAGAGACTGTTATCACTAGAAGCATTTTTATTTTTTTTCTGTTATTGTAACTTGAAATAAGGAACAAAAGGTTGGATTTTTTTATGGAAGAGAATTTAGAAAACATTTTGTTTCAGACAAGTCAAGGTGAAGCATTGTAATATTTGGTCAAAGCCATTTTCTTCACTTCTAGTAACTAATATTTTGCTTGCTGTAATAACCACCGACATGTCCTCATGTTAACTGTAATTAGAATTTTAAAGGTATTTTCATGTTGCTCCCTACATTCACCATCCCTATGTGCGATGCTTTTTTGAATGGACAACTTTTCTCCAGCTCACAAAGTTTGTCTCTGAAGGAAACGTGTTACATCAGGTTATATTTACATTTTTGAGGGATTGGGTATACCTCTAAAAACCCATGTGCTGGGTGAGAGAAGGTGCTGGTAGGTGAACACTTTATAAATTCTATGGCAATGTTTAAGCATTTCAGAGTGTATTGAATAAAAAGACATAAATCTGTCTCGGTTAAACTGACCTCAGACAAAACTTCCCTCTCACCTTCCTTGATCAGAGTACATGTCTTTCATGAGGCTAATGTTTTTCCCATGGGAAGTATCAGTTAAAAAGCAAACTAATTTTCTGATTAAAAAGGAAAAGATTCAGATAGAAAATGCATAGACCCCTGGGATTTTTTTATACGAAGAACTGAAGCGATGTTTTGCCCAGTTGGCCAAAGCTTTCACTTGTGAGCTAGCCCAAGCCTTGCCCTGGGTGAGAAGCCCCTCGTTGCCTTCAGGCCATGGCACCCTCAGGTCTCATCTGCAGACTCATGGACGAACAAGTGCCAAGTATTTTGGGTAAGTGCCTCGGAGGGGTGGTTTTTGTTGGAACAACTGAGATTTGGAAGGGAAGCAAAAACAACTCAGAGACTTTGCCAAGCACGGAAGCCCTTCCTCAGGTGCACTAAGCACAAGCAGAGAACGGGTCCTCTGAGATCAACCAGCCATGTCCCCAACTTGCTGAGGGAAAAAGAGAGTTTGCAGTCGATGACTGTTAATTAGAGAGGCTATAATCTGGTTGTTTCCTAAGGAAAAACATGTGTCCAGTAGAACTAAGGGAGTTTTAGGCTGAAAAGGAGGAAAAAGGGTGATTGCGCTACGCTGTAAAACCAGTGTCTGCAATGGGGCCCTGCTTTCTGGTGCCTGTTTATAGAATCATAGAATCATAGAATCATAGAATTTCCCAGGCCGGAAGGGACCTCCAAGGGTCATCTAGTCCAACCTCCCCACAGTCAGCAGGGACACCCCCAACTAGACCAGGTTGCCCAGGGCCTCGTCGAGCCTCTCCTTGAATATCTCCAGGGATGGGGCCTCAACCACCTCCCTGGGCAACCTGTTCCAGTGCTCCACCACCCTCACAGTGAAGAACCCTCTCCTAATCTCCAATCTAAATCTGTTCCCCTCCAGCTTGAAGCCATTTCCCCTCGTCCTGTCACTACAGGCCTTTCTAAACAGGTTCTCCCCAGCCTTCCTGTAGGCTCCCTTCAGGTACTGGAAGGCTACTATTAGGTCTCCCCGGAGCCTCCTCTTCTCCAGGCTGAACAACCCCAGTTCCTTCAGCCTGTCCTTGTAGCAGAGGTGCTCCATCCCCTTGATCATCCTTGTGGCCCTCCTCTGGACCCTCTCCATCAGGTCCATGTCCTTCTTGTATTGAGGGCTCCAGACCTGCACACAATACTCCAGGTGAGGTCTCACCAGAGCAGAGTAAAGTGGCAGAATCACCTCTCTGGACCTGCTGGCAACGCTTCTTTTGATGCAGCCCAGGATGCGATTGGCCTTCTGGGCTGCAGCTGCACACTGCCTGCTCATGTCCAGCTTCTCGTCCACCAGCACCCCCAAGTCCCTTTCCTCAGGGCTGCTTTCCAACACCTCACCCCCTAGTTTGTATTGGTGGCGAGGATTGTTCCGGCCCAGGTGCAGAACCTTGCACTTGCTCTTGTTGAACCTCATGAGGTTCACCTGGGCCCACCTCTCCAGCCTGTCCAGGTCCCTTTGGATGACATCCCGTCCCTCTGGTGTATCGACAACACCACACAGCTTGGTATCATCCGCAAACTTGCTGATGGTGCCTTTAATCTCCCTGTCTATATCATTGATAAAAATGTTAAACAGCACCGGTCCCAGCACGGACCCTTGAGGAACACCACTTGTGACTGGTCTCCATCTGGACTTTGAGCCATTGAGTACTACCCTCTGGATGCGACCATCTAGCCAGTTCCTTATCCACTGAACAGTCCACCCATCAAATCCGTACCCCTCCAATTTGGCAATCAGGATGTTGTGGGGGACCGTGTCAAAGGCCTTACAGAAATCCAGATAGATCACATCCATAGGTTGCCCCTTGTCTACTGACCAAGTCACTTTATCATAGAAGGCCACTAGGTTAGTCAGGCAGGACCTGCCCCTAGTAAAGCCATGTTGGGTGTCCTGGATTACCTCCCTGTCCTTCATGTGCCCAAGCATGGCATCTAGGAGGATTTGTTCCATGATCTTCCCAGGCACAGAGGTGAGACTGACAGGTCGGTAGTTCCCAGGGTCCTCCTTTCTACCCTTTTTAAAAATGGGTGTGATGTTCCCCTTCTTCCAGTCTGCAGGGACTTCACCTGACTGCCATGATTTTTCAAATATCATGGAAAGTGGTTTGGCAACTACATCAGCTAGTTCCTTCAGGACTCTGGGATGTATCTCATCAGGTCCCATGGACTTGTATATCTTCAGGCTCCTGAGTTGATCTCGTACCTTGTCTTCACTTACAGTGGGAGGGACCTTGTCACCCTGGTCTCCAACTTTTTTGTCATCAACACAAGAACTAGGAGGAAGGGGGTTACCAGTGAAGACCGAGGCAAAGAAGTCATTGAGAACTTCTGCCTTCTCCTCATCTGTTGATACAAGTTCCCCACTGTTGCACATCAGGGGGGGTACATTTTCTTTAACCTTCCTTTTCTGGTTAACGTACCTGTAGAAGCCTTTCTTATTTTTCTTTACGTCCCTTGCCAAGTTCAGTTCTAGCTGTGCCTTGGCCTTCCTGACCTCATTCCTACACATCTTGGCAGCATCCCTATACTCTTCCCAGGATGCCTGTCCCTTCTTCCATTTCCTGTGTAGCCCCATCTTGCCCCTTAGTTTGACCAGCAGGTCTTGGCTCAACCATGGTGGTCTCTTGCCCTCCTTGCCCATTTTCCTACATGTGGGGATTGAGATCTTTTGTGCTCTATAGAGAGCATCCTTAAAAATCTGCCAGCTTTGTTCCGCTCCCTTGTCCCTGAGGGCTGTTTCCCATGGGGTCCTATTTACTAACTCCTTGAAAAGCTGGAAGTTTGCTTTCTTGAAGTTTAGAGTCCTAACTGTGCTTCTGGTGAGCTTCAAACTCCTTAGGACAGTGAACTGCACTAGGGCATGATCACTGCAGCCTAGGCTACCTTCAATTTTGATATCCCTGATGATTTCACTTGCATTTGTGATCAACAGATCCAACAATGCATTTCCTCGAGTAGGGCTGTTAATTTCTTGTCGCAGGAAGTTGTCATCTAGGCACTCTAAGAGCTTCCTGGATTGTCTGCAGCCAGCTGTGTTGCTTTTCCAGCAGATGTCGGGGTGGTTAAAGTCCCCCAGCAGGATGAGAGCCTGTGATCGTGATGCCTCCTCAAGCTGGAGTAAGAAGGCATCATTGACAGGCTCCGCCTGGTCAGGCGGCCTGTAGTAGACTCCTACCACAAGGCTCCCTTTGTTGTCCCAATCCCTAATTCCTACCCATAAACTTTCAACCTGGTCATGGCTACTCTTTAGCAACAACTCTTCACATTCTAGCCACTTCTTTACATAGAGGGCAACACCTCCACCCCTTCTTCCACTCCTGTCCCTTCTGAACAGCTTGTACCCATTGATGGCCACACTCCAGTCATAGGAGTCGTCCCACCAAGTTTCCGTAATTGCTACTATGTCATAGCTTTCCTGTAGCAGGATAGCTTCCAGTTCCTCCTGCTTGTTGCCCATGCTGTGTGCATTGGTGTAGAGACATTTCAGCTGGTCTGCTGGCCACGTCACGTTCTTAGAGGGACACTCCACTGATCCCCCAAGATGCTTTGTGGCTGCAACCCTCCTGTCTCCTATTACCTCAGGGGCTCTTGGTCCATTATTTCTTGCTTCTAGTGCAATGGCAGGCTGGAGGGTGTCCTTAAGCTCGTCTCTAGTGCTTCTCAGTGTTTCTCAAGCTTGTCTTTGGAAGATGATTTATTCACTGCCTTTAAACATTCATCTTCAGCCTAAAAGTGCAAGGTTGCATACCTTGATCTTTCTTTTGTGAAGACAGTGAAAAATAGACTTTTTCCACAAATTCTGCTTGTGGGCTTTCAGAGTGATTAATTGCATGATTATGATGTGGGAGGTAGGCACAACCACTCATGCCACAGCATGGGGGCAAAAGGAATGGAACCCCTTGTGCTCCTTGTTGCTCATGTGCATGTGTCTAAAAATCAAACAGACCACTGCTGTTCATGATTTCGTAGAGAATGTCTCACAATTGTGTTTCTTAATTGAGATCAATCCAATATATTGATCCCCTGGGATCAGTTTGCAGCTGAGGTTCATTACAGCAGAATAGTTGTTCCTAAAAGACCAGTCAGAACAGAGGGTCTGGAGAGCAACTAACAGTTAAAACATTCCCTCATGGGGTTTTCCCAGTCAGAAATACTGTCTGGAAGTGAAATCTGTGAATCTGGATTTGGCAGGAACCCAGATGGAGCGTAAACCAGAAGAAATCTGGACATCTCTGCTAAAGTCAACCACACTCCAGGTACCTCTGGACAATGAAAGTTCATTCAGATTAACTGTGAGGAAATGGGCAATGAAGAGCTGCCTTCTGCTGGTAGAAGGTGATGAGCTCTCTGATTTTTATGCACCCCGTGACCATGGTACAGCCCACGATCACACTGCAGTTATTTCCAAATTGGTCTGTGAGTGCCTGTACACACCAAGGCAAGGGAGCAGAGGGCCCTCACAACCATCTTTCTGCCCAGGATCTGACTGCTGACTTCTAGTCTAGCAGGACAGCCAGTCCTCCTTCACCAGACCCTCTGCAGCACAGCTGATGGGCTGGCCAGCCCCTGGCCACAGAGCGATTCCAGCAAGCCCACTTAGGCCTGTCTGGTCCTCCTCATGGATGGGGGTAAAGTTCTCTTAGATCCAAGTGTTTCGGTGGTCTCCTTAGGCAGGACTGCCACTGCGGGTGACCTAGGCTGGGGTGAGGGATCTGCTTTTGCCACTCAGTGCCCAGTAACCCTGAGGGCCAGCTGTAGCGAGATGGGCCATTGCTGTTGCCCCTGGCAGCTCTGCCATGGAAAGTAGGAAGAAGAGTGAGAGGTCATGAAAATGGCCAAAGTGAAGTTGTTGATCTCTTTTTGTCCACCTTCTATAAATAGAACCTACACTTTTGGTTTCAGTTTTATTTTTAGTTGTGTGGAGAACATTGTGTTCTTGTTCCCATTGCTGAAATGGCTCCTAGGTCTTCTTCCCATTCTTCTGTGATAACAGCCCTGGGCAGAGGAAGATGTGATTTCTCAGTAGCTGGGAGATGTTTGCACGGCAAGGCCAAATATACAAGAATCACACAGAATCACAGAATGATGTGGGGTTCGAAGGGACCTCTGGAGATCATCTAGTCAAACCCCGCTTTGGCAAGCAGGTCCACCTAGAGCAGGTTGCACAGAGCTCGAGTTCCCCTCTCAAGATGCCTACAGGAGGGTGGAGAGATGCCAGGGACCACACACCAGCAGAAATGGGGTTGGATGCTGCCATGGCTGTGCCCCGTCACTGGAGGATGAAGAGTCTGGTGAGGCTTGCACCTGGTGCTGCACTTTGGGACTTGCCAAGGTGGGTGCCACCAGGCAGGGGAAGCTCCCTGCACCAGATCCCACTGCTCGGTGAGACCTGTTGTTTAGGATCATCCCACATCTGGCTGCATTTGCTGCAGGAGAAGCAGCTTTCTTCCCTCTGGCAACCATGCCTTTAGGGCCTGCAGGACTCGTTAACTTCTCAGAAGTTTTAGAGGCTGGCATTTTTTGCAGCAGCTGTAAATTCAGTCTTAGTTGGAGAAATGTTATTGGTCTCATTCCCTCCTCCTTTTCTTCTGTGGTGTCTGCCCTTCCTTCACTTTCTTAAATAGCTCTCCTGCTTCTGTTTCTGCCCAAAGCAACATTTGCCTCACAATGCAGTGGGCTGAAGCAACACACTCGACATTTTTTTCAGTGGATGCAGCTGTTGCTCTTTCTAGCAAAGACGTGACCCTGTGGCACTGCGATTGCCTTTCTGCACCGCAGCGTGCAACCGCGCACGTAACCCAGTCCAACTGCCCCCAAGACGGGGCAGAAGCTCTAGCTTTTAATCAAGCAGCTTTGGGCTAATATTGAAGAACGTGAAAGTAATAGAGGATTTGCATGAAGGAATGAAGCTGCAGAGGAGGTTTCAAACAGGCCAAATCCAAATCTTGCTTCCAAATTGGCCATCTGTTTGCAAAATATATATCAGCAAATGCTATAATTTCACGGACGTGACTTGGTTCCAAGTTGCCTGTGGTAACTCTGAGGCTTGACTAATGAAGTTTTGTAATAGGTGTCTTCACTACTTGCTCTAGAAAGCATCCGTGCCGACATTTCTCAAACATTGAATGCAAAGGCCTAGAAGTTCCTTTTGGATTTGAAATAGGGTGCTATTAAGCAAGCCCATTTTGCAAGTTCTAATCTCACGCCAGGAAACACTACTCTTGTGAAGAGGTGACCATCAGAAAAGTGTGTCCAGTTTCTTTCCAGTAAGATCTGGGCTGAGCTCATATCTCTCAGGACAGATGCAGGATAGGTATTCATGGGAGTTTTGTGCAATAGCAATAGATGAGGAGATGCTCAAAACTCTGAAGTTTGCAGAGGCAGTGACAGTAAATAGTTCCTGGAGGTCGTAAGGGACCAAAGATAAAAAACTGAAGTGGGTCTTTGTCCAGGTGAATAGCATTGATGCTGTGCATGTAAATGCTTCTAACCACAATGCACAAATTCTGCTTCTTGCAGTGTCTTGACCACTGTACGTGCTGCAAATATTTCACATTCTTTTTTTAACCTTTTTTTTTTTCCTTTTCTTTACGAGCACATTAATGTAGCCAATTTCAAGCCACCATCTAGAGGGTTTCATTTCTCAGGTGAAGAAGGTTTATTTGTTATTTGACAGTGAGAGTTCTCACACAGGGTATGAGAGCTGCTTGGGGCTGGCGGTTTTGTTACCAGTGTGTATGGTGTTTGTAGCATGCAGGTATTAAGAGGTTGTGAATCTTGTCTTGGAAAGTTTTAAGGATGACTGTATTTATCAGCAGACTCATAGGATTTTAACATTTAATCCAGCTCTAAGAAGGTCTCCAAGAAAAATAAAATTTCATTTACCCACGGTTGATAGGAAGTTCAATTAATTCTAGCACTTGGGATTTCAGTTGCTATTTTCCTAAAGTAGGGTGGCTTTTCCTGGAGGATTCTTGACGTCACTGCTGTACTGCTGCTTTGATGATAAGGTCAGGTAAACTTTTAGTAAAGGATAGCGGGGAACAATTGTTTTCCAGTAGAAATATAGTACATTTTAAATGTAGAAAATTAGTCCCTTAGATGGAATGTAGTCATCACCTTATTACATGTTTCTAAGGTGTACTGTGGCAGAAAATCTCAAGAGAGCAAGCTGTTAACCATGCAAACTCATCTGTGGCTACTTGTTATTTTTGCCCTTCATACTTGTCTGAGATAGATAGATAGATAGATAGATAGATAGATAGATAGATAGATAGATAGGATAATGCTGCCTGCAGATGCTGGTGAGGAACAACCTCTAAAAGAGACATCGGGTAAGGCTGGAGACATCCTCTTAATTTCTCCTTTTGGTTCTTCTTTCTGTCCTTTCAAAACAAAACCTAAACAAAACCACCAAACCCCCCAAAGGTTTTGTCTAAGTGCTACCATTTAAATGTGTTAGGAACGCATTTTGGTGTCTTCATCTGTTAAGAGATTAAAATTCTCACTTCGCTACACTGAAAAAGCTTCAGCCTACTTCAGCTGAGCACGAATTGAGTGTCAGATACACCTGATTTGGGAAAGGCAGGGTGTCTAATTTTGCTGAGGAGGGCAGATGAGCTCTTGACATACTGACTCGATGTGGTGTTCACAGCATAGAATGGCACCCAAACACTTGCTAATAATTTCTGCTTTGGGCAGAATGCATTGGTAGTTGGATTTATTAATGATTTGAAACAGATGGTTTGTAGTCCATTTTGCTATCATTTACTAGAGAGGTCCCCTTGAGCTACAGTCATCTTGTATATTTTGTCCCCTGCTAACCTGATCTCCAGGTATAGTAACTATTGTCTGTTATTTCTCAAGTAGTGTGAAAATGCAAGTGTACAATTTCACGTTCATCTTAGAATAGCACAAGTGGAAATGTCAGTAGCTTTTTCACATAGATACATTGCACTTTTTATATTGCTTTACTTTTTATAGTTTTATATTGCAAAAAAATTGATACTAAGCTTTCTCATGATATTTAAACATACCGCAAGAAAATTAAAATGCTGCCTAAATAAGCCCTGTCTAGAAACCGTAGACTTTTCCTCATTGAGAGAACAGGTATAAATTGTTTAGGCTGTGCAACAAGAAATGGACTTCAGGAGCAAACCATGGTTGACCAAGGTTTCTCCCTTTGGTTGGTGCCAGTGTTGAGACAGGTAGTCCTGAGATGGGGTCAGATTCAGATTTTGACAGCACCCAGGTCTGAGGTTGTTTAGCCCAAATGTCTCAGTTTGTGTTGTCTCCATTTAACCTTTTTTGCATGAGGGTGTGTGAGTATGTGGATACATAAATGGCCTTACTCTTCCCCTCAAGTCTGCGCTAGCGAGTTGGGACTTAATTAAACTGATGAACTGAAACTTATTTATTTGATCACTGTTGGGAATTATTTTTAAAAAGTGATGTATTTGACACATATTTAAAGAAAGTATGGCATCCTTGAAGTGAACAGTGTGTGATATGAGAAAGGAGAGGAGGGAACAAGCAGCTAAAAACAGCAAAGTTAGCAGTCTAAGTGGCATTGTGCACA